ACTTTGCGCCCACTTTAAGTGCCCAAAATGACATACTTTTCGTGCAGCTAGGACAAAAACAATTTTTGCATAAATTTTGTCATAGAAATCAAATGTAAAATTTTATTACCCAATAATAAAAAGGTGAAAAATATTATTTCACGAATTTAAATTCTTTCTAATGAAAAATCACTAAAATTTAGTAGAATTTCACTAGAATCATTCTATATATTAATTCTAGTGAAATTCTGTAGAATATTCACTAGAGTTAATGTATAGAATGATTCTAGTGAAATTCTATAGAACTTTTTCAGCTGAGGTCTAATAATTTACGGTCCGCAAATATAAAGCAAAATAAGAAGGAGATTACTTTTTACGATATATAAATTGTCAATAAATTTAAGATGCTTGCGCAGGTGAACAAAAATACATTTAACGTTCAAAATGCCATAAAGAACAAATTCTCACGTACCATAAACAAACAATGTGTTTATAAAGAACAGAAGGAAAAAATAAAAATAAGTCCTCACGGATTGTATACCCAAAAAACGTGTCTCACATATATTCAAAAGGTACGTACAGAAATATACGGCAGCAAATTGAGAAAGAGAGGGATACGAATGTTTGTTGTGAAGTGATAACACAATTAGTCTGTCTCTTCATGCGCGACCTCTGATAAGGGATTCTCTTGTCGTGCATAACACGAACATGAGAACGTTCGTCAGCGTAAATCCGGCGGATAGAAGATCCCGAGGGAAAATAGAGAGAGCGTTTCAGGGGCAGCCGATAAGGGTGGTTAACCCTCTCTCTCTCTCTCTCTCTCACTCTCTCGTATATGTGTTTGAGAAAAAAGGGGTGTGAGGGGCGGTAATGCCTTCCGGCACGTTTTCTTTGCTTGATTTATTCTATAAGGGTCTCGAAACGCCGTAACATGACATATTTATGCGCGCATCAGGTGCGCGCTCACTTTCGCAAAGTACATTCTGTGTGGCTTTTATGTATTGAATTACTTTTATTTGAATCTCGTTTAGTTGATATTCATAAACGTAAAAACAAATATATATGTATACAATGATTATCATACGATAAAACAAAGTATTTTATTTTTCAGAAGCAAAAAAAAAATAAAATAAACAGGTCCCGTCAAGGTAAAACACGTTGGAAATAATTAAATAATATGCACATAAATTTAGTGTGTATTTTCGAAAATATCGTTGAGATCCAAATTGACCGGTAGTGAAACAAGTATAAATTAGTCGGTAATAAGATTGTGGAAGCAATATCTTTTTTGTTGAATACTCTTTTTTATTATGGACTAATATCATTTCTTGTCATTCTACTTGATGTCGTTGCATTTACATATATACATTTGCGTTTATGTAGAGGACAAAAACAGGTGTCTTCGATATGAGCTTGACGTAGTGGGTTTTTAATGATCCTGAAGTTTTGAACGTTTAAATGAACGAAATTTTTCTTAAATATTTTTAAAAATTACTAATATCCAAAAAGGACAACTAATTAAAATTAAACATTTATTTAGTTGAGAACGAAATTATTTGCCAATGTAAATATTTTCAATAATTACCGACTGTTATAAAAAGTGAAATTGCAATTAAAAATTTAGAAGATTTACAATTTATTTCTTTAAATAGAGATTCAATGTGGGACTGAATAGTTTTTTCTAGTTTTCTATTGTTGAAGCATTATTTTGAGGGCAATTTTTACCTGAGCAAGTTTAGAAGATTTTTGTGTCCCTCTTCATATTTAGATCACCTGTAAAACACCCAAGGGTCGTTCACAATAATTTCGTGCTTCCTTAGACCTGTACTTAAGACCTCTACTCCCTAATTGGCCTTTTTCCACCAGTTTTTCACACAAATCAGAGAAATTCACACGTTATCTGGACGAAAAAAAAAGATAAAGTGACTTTTACTATATTTTTGTATAATAGAGATAAACCTAAAGCGACAGAAATTTCTTCGTATTTCTGCACTCTAATTCAGAATCAGTGAAAATTTGAAAATTTCACTGATTTCAATTCTGTGGTCCAGTTTTCTTTAATTAATCAGTATAGAATTTCACTGAGAATCAGTAAAAATCACTAATTGTCATAGTTAAATTCCACTGATTCATCAAAGAAAACTGGGCCATTGAATTAAAATCAATGAAATTTCCATTGATTCAAATTTAAAGTGTGGTTTGCAATTTTTACTATACTTTGGAATAAATGTTACTATTTATGAATAACTAAACTTTACTATTTAAATACTTATAAAAGGTGTCTACTATTTTCGTTCAACAAAATTCCCGGTTTTCCCGGCTTTGTCATAATTTTTTTCCAGTTCTTTTTTCTCATCAAATTAAAATTTATTTGATTTCGAACCTAAATAAATCTACAAATGGCTTCTAAAATTCTTATTAGACTTTTTATGAATAATTAACTTCTTTTGACGAGTTTTTTAAAAATTTTTTGAAAACTAATGTTTTTTTTAATAATTTTAATTGAAAATTTGGAAAATAATTGAATTAAACAAAGAATTTTTTAAATTTTTTAAAATAATCTTGTCTGTTCATAATTATAATTGAAAATTTGATTCATTCAATTTTATTAAAATTCATTGATACTAATTGAATTTTTGCAAAGATTTTTACTATTTATAAAAGTAATTGAATCATTCAAAAGAATGTTATTATTTATGAAAATAATTAAATGTTTGCGTAGAATTTTATAAAAATTTTTGAAAATAATTGAATTGTGGAGAACAATTTAATTATTTATAAAGATAATTGAAATTTTTAGGATAATTTAAAAAAATTTTTAAACATATAATTGAACTTCTGCGAAAAATTTTAATACTTTTGAAAATAATTGAATTGTTTTTTAGAATTTTATGAAAATTTATGAAAATAATTGAATTTTTGAGAAGAATTTTTTTTACAGTTTCTAGAAATAATTGAATTCTTTCGATGAATTTTAATAAAATTTTTAAAACTATTTTTCGAGGAATTTGATTAAATTTATATTAAAAATAATTGAAATTCTGCAACGAGTTTTACTATTTATGAAAATAATTGAATATATTGCGAAGAAATTTTTAAAACTAAAATTATAATTACGGTGATTAACTTTCCTTGATTATTTTCGAAAAATTTTAATAAAATTCTTAAAAAGAATTGAATTATTTATAATAGAATGTAAAGAAATTTCAATTATTGCAAAAATTTTTAATTACTTGTTTATAAAAATTCAATTACATATCTTAAAACAACAGAATTGATCAAATTTAACAATCTTATTTTTCAGAATTTTCAAAAAAAAAACTTTTTGCAAAAATTCAATTTTATTAAAAAATTTTTAAGTGTGTAACTTTTTTAAAATTAAATAATAAAATGTTGAATTATTAATCTTCGCACTAAGAAACATGAATTCATTAGAATGTGACTCTTTATAAAATTCAAAAATTATTTATCAATTATTATAATAAAATACTTTGAAAATTCGATTTGTTAGTAAGTTTTTAATAAAATTCTTTAACAAATTTAATTATTTTAATTACTCAATTATTATTTAATATAATTAATTATTTAATTTCGTGAAAAAATTCCCGGTTTGGCATAAAATTCCTGGGTTTATTTCCCGTTCTTAGTAAATTAGTTTTCAATTAGCTTTAAACAAAAAGTTCGTAGAAAGTTCAAAAAAATTAAATTACTAAAATCTCAATTTGAAATCTTGATGCATATTAAAAATTTCAGTTATTTTTTAATTATCCAATTAGTGAAAAATGACTGACTTTCAATCGTTTTTAACTAATTTTCAGTGAAATTTCACTTATTGAAATCGTAAGAATAGAGTTACTGAGATTTTAGTTCAACTTTAATGATTCAGTTTTAAAGAGTAATAACTGTAGTTCTACTTTCTACTAAGTAATCAGTTATTATATTTATTAATTGCTGAAGCTGAATTTGTTGCTAACTTTTTACTTTTGAATTACTAAATTTTACTAATAAATTCGTAGAAATTACTGTATTATATTTAGTGACTGACTTTTTGATTATGGATTAGTAAATTTTACTAATGAATCAGTAGAAATTACTATACTGTTACTATTACTAATTAATGACTAAATTTTTGCTTTTGAATTAGTAAATTTTACTAATAAATTTAGAAAATAGAAATATAATTTAGAAATTAGTATTTATGAATAAAATTTACTAATTCAAAAGCTAAAAGTCAGTTAAACTACTTTAAATTAAAGAAGCTTTTTACTAATTCAAATTTAAAGAGTAGGGAAATTTTACTGATTCGCAGTGAAAATGATTGCAAATCAGTGAAATTTGTCTTAGGTAGACAGAACTGACAGGTAGACTGACTGACATTCAGTGAAAACTTTACTGATTTAATTTAAGAGAGTAAGTTAATATTCAATTTATACCATTTTTCATTTAAATACAGCAAATATTTAATAAGAAAAAAAAGAACCTTCCTTTACAACGTTGAAAACTTTATGAAAATAAAACCATAATTAATTTAATAAGCGAATCGACGCAGTAGAAAAAAGTCGAGAGAAAAAAAAACCACTAATTCAAATTTAAAGACCAAGGAACATTGCCCGCCTGCCCTGCTCTTAAAGTTCGAAATTAAATAAAAGTCAACGAGATATATAGACGAGAGCTTTTAAGCTCGAAATATAAATACCCCCCCCACTGCTTTTCCTTTCTTTTTTTGCACGCGCAGTGAAAGCTTTCGATCATATACTTTCTACCAATTTAATCCATCTCCATTATACTATATCCCCGCGAAATGTATCTCCTATCTTCACCTCTCTTGGGAATAATAAAAAGCCCCCCTCTTTCCCCCCCCACCAAAAAGGCCAAAAACTTTTGGAAACATGGAAAACTCAAATGCTCGAAGGTTGGGGCGGAGCGGAATGAACCATAAGGGGTGGTTCGGTGTGGTAATAGCATAAATCGGTGTGTGCCGTCGGTAAAAGGGGAAGGGGAAGGGACAGCACCAGCAGCAGCAGCAGACACTGGTGTTTCAAAGACAGTCGCCACTCGACGTCCGCACAGAACGGAAAGGAGATCTACACAATCTATTTTATCTAAAAAAAAATTTGTTTTCGAAAGTTTGTTTTTTTCTAATATTAACAAAACATGGGGAGAAAATAAAACAAAAGTGCGAGAAGAAAATAGGAATAAAAAAAAAAGTTGTTCACAGAAAAAGGGGGATTAAAAAAAAGTGCACGTGACAGTATACCTCTCACTGAAGACAACGACCCTGGTGATCGTGTTTGCTTCGCGCTTAAAGTGCAAGGACTGTGGGGTGATAGTGCTTCTGTAGTACACTGACACGGAATCAACAGCTCTCACACGCTTCACTTTGATTTGCAGAGAGGCAATTTTTCTTTTGCTGCTGCTGCTGATGCTCTTCAATTTGTGTTCAATGAGCTTTTCCCAAAGTGTCAAGGTCGCTTCAACTGGTTCTGCAAATTCACTTCACTTTTTTCCTGTGAGTTCTACAAATTCACTTGTTGTGTCGATGAGATAAGTTACGAATTCTGGATCTACGATTTCTGTTTGATGAGATAAAAAGCGAATTTCTTAAAGCTTCTTTATTTGAGAAGCATTTCTTCACTGAGCCTTTAATGCGACTTTTAAAGGTGAAGAAAAGTGGAATTGCTGTTGGAACTTGTCAGTATTAGCGAGAGCCGAGTTATGATGTCTTGATTGCTGATTTCAGCATCGTAACTGTGAATAAAGATTTATGTGAAAGAGCTTCTTTTTCTTATCATCATCTTCCTCATATCCTCGAGAATTAAGTGTCTTCTATCTTCAGTCCTCAGTTACACTCTGAGAAACTAGAGAAATTCAGTCTTCAAACACTGAAGAAAACTCGAAGAACATACAACAGATTTTAACAGATTTCAACAGATCTCAACAGATTTTAACAGATATCAACAAACATCTTGGATACATTGCTCATAGTTTCCAGTGGTGCATTAGTCCCCGATTGAAATGAGATAAATCGATTTTGCAAAATAAGAATATTTTTGTGTAAAAAGTAAAACAACTGTGACAGCTTCAACACGTGCGACACGACAATAACGGCACATGTAAGCACCGGTGCGAGATTAGCGACTTGATGGAACTAGCGAAGAACCAATCGCGTACAAGCTGTTTGGCACGAGCCATCGGCGAAATGAGATGGGTTGGGGTGAAGTGAAATGGAAGGGAAAATGAAATGGAACCAAGTGAAATGAACTGAGAGAAAGTGTACTCTCGTCAGGTACGAGTGAGCACGTGTTTTTTTTTCCTTTTTTTTCTCTCCCGAAAAAGAAGTGTACCCAAAAAAAAAAGAGAGGAAATTAGTGCAGAGAGATACAGAAAAATTAAGATCTGTATGTAGGATCTGTATTAAGATCTGTACTAAGATCTGTATTAAGATCTGTACTAAGATCTGTATTAAGATCTGTACTAAGATCTGTATTAAGATCTGTCCTAAGATCTGTTCTCAGTGCTTTTTTTTTTAAGTGTTTGAAAATTTATGAAATTTATTGTGGTGAGGAGAAAAAAACTTGGCGAGGCCGTGCAATATTTGTAAATAGGAAACACGCCGATTTTGCAATAATTTTATTATAACGAACGAAGAGAATAATATTGAGAGAGAGGAGGGAAAATTGATGACAGTGACACGGGGAGGAGAAGAGAGTTCCCCTGTGACAGTTCACACTACTACGATATTATTTTATTGGATATCGCTCTTACTGACTTCCTTCACGATAACGGTAAGTTTAAATGTACGCGCTCTTGGCACTGTAACGCTTCTTTATGTATACATGTATGTCTAACGTGAGTCTGCATCTTACTGTTAACAACATCATCATCGGCATTGATATTTGCAATGACAGTTGTCTCAACTCCGGAGGAATACATTCTTTTCCTCTCACATTTCTCCTTCTTCTTCTTTACCTCGAAATTCAGAACTCAAACTCCAAACTAAACTAAAAAAAAGTTTAAAAATTTATTCTTTAATTCAATAAAATCCGATAGGGAAATGTCACTCTAAAAACTAGTGTCAATTTAGAGCAGATTTTGGGTATTTAATGATGAAATCATTTGGTACAATTTTAATACATATACCTCACGGCTCTTATTTAGCACTTTTTTTCACGATCGAAAATTCTTGTTAGATAAAAGAATATTTTTTTGAAAAACAACATTTTTTCGAAGTTCAATCCATTCAAATGAATGACACATTGATTATTTCTCTCACAGTTTTTCTAAGGACATCAAATTGGAACAAAAAACGAATCAAAAATATTGCAAGCAACATTTTTGCTTCGTTTTTTGTCTCAATTTGATATCCTTAGAAAAATTGTACTTTCAAATTCAGCTTTAATAATATTATTCATAATAATATTATTATGATTAAAAAAATACATGTAAAGATCAAAATTGTTTGATTTACGTTTCAGATTTTTATTACAATAAATAATTTTTGTAATTATTTATGTTAAAAAGAATTGTTCAAAATAAAAATATTTCGTTCAACGTTCCAAATTTATATCGATATTTGAGACAAAAAAACAAACATTTCTCAGGATGTTCCTAAAGTTTCGAACGTTCAATAAAACAATTTCTTTGTTACTCTAATTTTCATTTTATTACAAAAAAAAATTATTTTCTATATTAAACAAATTAATTCTTAACTAAGAAAATGTTTAATTTCTATTTTTTCCTTTTAGTAATCTCTCCGTAATTTGAACATTTAAAGGAACTTCATTTAAATATTTTCAAAAATTATTATTCTGAAATAGAAAAAATAACGTAAATTGAACATTTTCTCAGTTAAAAATAAAGTTTTTGATATACCAAATAATTTTTTTTATAATAAAATGCAAATTAAAAAAGATTGTCAAAAAAAAAATTGTCAATGATTTGAAAATTGAAAACTTTAGGAACTTTTCAGAATAATATAATTTTTCAAAATATGTAAATAGAGAACAAAATTGTCATTTCATTTTAGTAATTTCTGCAAAATTTTAATTTTTAAATGGATGAAATTTTTTCTCTATTTACGTATTTTCAAAAATTACTGTAATTAAATGGAAAATGACGTAAATTTTATAAGAAAATACAAGTTAAAAAAAAAATGTCAGAAAAATTTTCGTTCAGGGAATTTTGAAAATAATAATTCTTGAAAATATTTAAATAGTGAAAAAAATTGCCAGTCGAAACTTTACGAAAATTTTTGTTTCATAATTTTTGAAAAATACATTTAAATAGAAAAAAATTTTCTTTTATTTGTACGTTTGAAAACTTTAGAAAATATTTCAGTTTATTCTTAGTTTAAGGGAAATAATTTCTATAAATGCTTTTTTTTTATCTTTTCTACATTTATTTAAATGTAAAAAATATGAAAAAATTGTTATAAAAAATATTTACCAAATAAAATTTTTAAAATTGAAAAATTAATACAACAGCGTAAATAATTCAAAAATAGGTTAAAATTCAAAAAAAAGTATTTAACATTTCAAAAAAGATTTTTCGAAAATTTTAAAAGTTCAAATAAAGGAAAAATATTATCAAAATTTTCAAAAATTACTGAAAGCGATTAAAATTAAACTTTTAGAGGAAAAAAATAGAGAAACTTTTACTATTTACAAAGTAAAACTTAAACTTTTTGGAACTGTTTCTGTTTTGCAATTTTTATTATTTTTGGAGTAAATTTTACTACGTTCAAAGTACATTTTACTAAGTTTCACAAAAATTTACTTCGGAAAAAATAAAGTTTACTCCAGAAATAGTAAAAAAAAATAAATAAATAACGTTTATTTGAAAGTAAAAAAATTTATTTTGAAAAAGGTAAAATTTTCTTCAGAAAGAGTAAAAAATTAATAAGTAACGTTTATTTGAACATAAAAATATTTTACTTTTGAAAAAGAAAAATTTACTTGGAAAAATTTACTTCGGAAAAAGTAAAATTTATTCCATAAATTTAGTAAAAAAACAAATAAGCAAATAACGTTGAAAACTTTTGAACTACTTTAAAAAACATAAAAAAGGAAAAAATTCGAGCACGTCGACAATAATTAAAAATTATCTCAACATCAAATTAAATAAACTCGTTAACTAAGTGATAACTCATGTTTTGACACATCACACACAGGAAAAAGTATAAAAGTTTTTATTTTTCCGGCACTGATAATATTATGTTGGAAAAAAAACAAGTTCTTTAACTCAAAATGATTTTTTAATGTTTCTATCAGTTTTCTATTATAATCTATTATCGAATGAATGAAGAGATAATTTCCTCAGTAAATCATTTTTCATTATTAAACGATTAACCATTTAGCCAATGACAGACCAGTATACCTAACTTTATTATTAATATTATTATTATTATTCGATATATGTGACTTTGAAAAATAAAAAAGCAAATTGTGTCATGTGCACGCATCGTTATTAAAAATGTCAAAGAATTTCCAAGTTTATGTTAAATAAAACTCTTCTATAAAGACACGCGATTTAATATTACCATATAATTTTATACTTTGAATAAACTAATTATGAATGAGAGACAAACTTTGATTAATGGAATAAATTTTTATTAAAGAATATTTACATTTCAAAAAATATTTATTTTCATATCGGGAGAAATTTTACGTTTACTGCGCGCCTTTCAATATTTATGATAAATATATTTCTGGGAACCGCAAAAGTTTTTCTAATACACACAATGAGAGGAGAAAATTCAAACTGGAGAGAAAGTTCAATTTTCATATGTGACAATTTTATACACGCATCGACAAAAAAATTGATTCCTTTTTGAAAAATAAATTTTGAAAACCAAATTTCAAAAAATAAATTTCAAAAACTAAATTTTGAAAAATGATTTTTAAAATTAAATTTTAAGAACTAAATTTAAAAAAAAACTGTGAAAACTGAATTTTAAAAAATAAATTGTGAAAACGAATTTTCAAAAAATAAATAAAACTCCAAACAAAAATAAATTTTATAAGAAAATTTAAATTTCGAAAAATCTAAAATTTTTCAAGGAGGAAGATGAAAATTCTACCTCAATGAGAAATAAAGTTGCTTAATTATCGCTAAAGCAATAAAGATTTATTGATTTCCGTCAATATTCAACGAGTACGAATTTAATTATATAATTGAAGAAGAATATATACGGATGTTTTTGAAAAAGCAAAAAACAGAAATATAGAAATAAATTATTACGCGATTAAAATTTGATTCGAAAAAAAATTTTTTTTTTCACAAAAAGTGTACATTTTAATTTGAAATAAGGAACAAGTTTTAGTTGATTAAATTTACAACCATATATATTATATTGACCTTCATCGTTGTTTCATAAAATAATTTAGGCTAAACTCACATTTAATGGCAAATATTTGTACACACATTAAAAGATAAAGAAAAAACGTCACAATGATAAAGTTAATGACAACTATTTTGGGGCTTTTTTTAATAAATGTGTAACTGATTTATTTAATATTTTTTTAAAAATAATAATTGCATATTAATAATAATTGTAGTAATCTGCAGTTATTATTATTTTACAATTTATATTATTAAACAATTATCATTATTCGAAAGTTTAAAACTTTAGGGACAGTTATTAATAAAAATATTTCTAAAGTTCTGAACGTTCAAATTCACGAATTTATTTCTTTTTCTAGTTAAATTTTTATTACAATAGTTTTGGGTTAGACATAAAAAAAATCATTAAAAAAAATTTTAAAAACTTACCAATTGAAGATTTCCTTTTCGTACGAGTCCTTGTCCAAACAAAACAACCAATTTCGAACGATTTCCCTTTACTTGCACATGGAAGAAATTTGGCGTCGATTTGGCATTGCTGTTGTTCTTCTTATATTAGCTAAAATTTATATAAAAATAATATTACTTTATTTTTTTTAATAATAATTTTTTTTTTGAAATAAATTTAGAAAATATTTTTTCATTAATTTATTTATTTTTAATAAGAATCATTTCTAATAAACAAAAATAATAATAATAATAATGATAATAATAATAATAATAATAATAATAATAATAATAATAATAATAATAATAATAATAATAATAATAATAATAATAATAATAATAATAATAATAATAAACAAAAGTAATAATAATTATTACAATAATACACTGAAAATAATTTTTTATTAAAAGTAATTGTGATTTAATAATTGTGGATTGTTAATTTTTTCTATCGACAAAAATACAGTTTTTGAGTCATATTATTTTATCGAAAGACAATAATAAATCTATGATTTTTAACCAGAGATACTAACAATAAAATCTAAATATTAACCAGACATTCAAGGAATTTTTTTTAATGACTGTATAATAAGAGAATAATTAAACGTAGACAACAATATAAATTTGCTTAATAAAAAAAAAACTTGATGAACAACGTAGAGTTCAAAGATGCAATTATTTTTGTATTTGATTACAGTTAATTGTCACAGATAATATGTATAAAAACACCCAATATTTTTAAAGTTATTGATTTCTGCCTTTATTATTTCTATATATTATTATTATCATTACCATTGTTATTGATATTATTATTATTTCTGTTATTAGTATTATTACTAGTTCTATTATATTGTAATATTATTATTTCTATTTTATTGCTCCATTGTTAATATTATTAATATTTAATTAATCAATTTAATTAGTATTCTATAGTATATATACTATAATTAATAAATTAATAAATTAAAAAATTAAAAAATTAAAATAATTTACCTAATTATTTAGCTTATTATTATTACTATTATCATTATTGTTACTGTTATTTTACAAACCAAATACAAAATTTTTATTTTTTATTATTATTACTATTATATTATTAATTTTTTTATAATTAATCTTTTTGGTGACACTGTTATTAATAAAAAAATATGCATGTAATAAATAAAATATTTATTACATTATTTAAAAGTTTCGTACTGAAAATGTCAACAGTTTTCTTATTTATTACGTGGGATTAATTAAATCACGATCAGATACTGTTTTACAGTTAAATTAACTATTAAATTCGGCCTCAGGCAACTATATATAAATGTGTCTTGTTGAAAGAAACATTTATATTGATAATAACCCTTTTTTCTAATGAGACGATAATTACAAAGTGAACTCATCAAAAATTCTCATTACACAATAAAATATAAGAAAGTAATAAAAATACAACTATACAAAAGAATTTATTTTATACACTAATTAATTACTTGATTGTAATTGCATTCAAATTTTTAATATCTAATTAACACAATATGTTGAGGGTGATCGATTTTTTGGGTTTTTTTCTTTTTCTTTTTCGATTTTTTTTCTTTTTTTAAAGAAATCATCATAATTATAATTTTTTGAAAATATACCTTAAAAAGTTTTTAAAAAAACACGAACAGTTACAATTAAAATAAAAATTGAATTTTTATATTTAAATAATTAAAATCTCGAAGAACTTTTGAAAACAAAGTTCCCAAAAAAAGTTCCAATAATTTTTTTATTTCAAAAGCCAAAAGTTCCAATAATTCTTTGTTCCAAAAACCAAAAGGTTGAATAATTCTTACTTCCAAATACCAAAGAGTTCAACATATTTTTCAAATTCAAATTCAGAAACATTTTCGTTCTAAATTCCATCACTTCTAAGAATTACGAGAAACAAAATGGCGGCGGACAAATAAAACAGCTGATCCACTTGAAATTTTATAATTCATCTAAATTACAAATTAAACGGAATTAAATGACAATATTTTTTTAAACCAATTTTTCCCAATGGCAAGAATGTGATGTATGTGTCAATGGAAAAAATTAAAACATTTCCTTTAACGTTTTCAACAGCAAAGCTGTCCTCTTTAGGAACTATAGTTTTATTAAATAAATCTAGACAATAGGTTGATTACAATATTAAAATAAAATTACATCAAATAATTATTGTAAAAATTGCGATGAAATTAAATTATAAGTGCATATTTAAAAAAGAAAGAAAGGAGGAAATTTTGCTGTTGAAAACGTTAAAGGAATTGTTTTAATTTTTTTCCATTGGCTTGGCTCGGAGTGATCGTTAACTTCAACACTTAATTATTATTTATGTTTGTAGTAACATTTTTTATTTAGTGATTTTTTTCAAATTAATTCAATTTCTGATTATACGTTCTCACTTGTGTATTTTGATATTTTCAACATTGAAACTTTTTTAAATTGGACATTTTGTATATTGGAACTTTTAGTTTGGAACTTTTGTCCTACAATCGAAATCTGTGGTCAGATTCTTTTTTTCAATTTTTCTCGACGTAATTAGAATTTACAATCCTTGCTATACATTCGAATTTTAAAACAAAAAACATCAGCGACATTAAAAACAGGAAAAGAAAGAAGAAGTTTCACGCTTGTCAAAAATAAAACCTTCATGTCAACCCTCATCCATAGAAAAAAACCTCATATCTCTGACGGAGATCTCGAAATCTATAAAAGAAATTGCATTAAGGTGCTTTTAAGTTTTTGTCTAAAAGTCTGAGAAAATAATTCTTAATAGGAAGCAAGCAGAGCAGGTCCCACACACCAGAAATCATCATGAGATCTTAACAATGTATTTTTAGTTTAAGGATTCGAAAACTAAAACCAAAAAAAAAAGACGAATGAGTTCCTTTCGACAATATTCTCAACCGGTGCGGTCATTCTTTGTTCTCCCTCTGTGGTTCCCTCTGTGGTTCCCTCTGGTTCCCTCTGGTGCCCTCTGGCTTCAGGAGCCGCGGTCAGTGATAAATTCATTCACACGGGGGACTTGAAAAAGAGTGTCATGGTCGACCCACTTTGCGGTCGGACACACTTTCGAGGATCAGGCCGCACACAAACGTGAGATGAATCGTGGTCTTAATGGGATTATATTGCCGTCCTTTTCGTCGTCCCAACTTCCAAGATCTATACCGGATCGAATATATTCTCGGGTCTCTCGTTAGAAAGTGTTGCAGGAGAGCTGGGCGATATATACCTGTTACGTGTGTATATATAATATATATGTTTGTGCACTTTTATTATCTATCTCTCTTATTGACACAAACCATAATACACACCGAGAGATAGTAAATATTCCGTTTTTCTTTACATTTTCAAATATATGAGAACGTTCGGATGTAGAAATAGAGACACTGCGAGAGAGAACTGCCCTGGCGAGATTAAAACAGGATCGACTCTGTGGCAAAGTACGGTAGCACTCATAATATTGTCATAACTGCTGCACCTGCGTCCAGGTCTCTTTAACTATATATACGTGGAAATGGCAGTCAGGCAGGCAGGCAGGCAGCAGGCAAACAACCGTCGTCGTAGTCGCAAAACCACTTTGATCTCGATTTCCTTCCAAGATCTGAAAAAACACGACCTGATCGCGGATCCCGACCTCCTTTAACCTATACTGGAATCATGTTGCACTATTAAGTTTTAGAGCATCATAGAACATTATTCATTTGACCTTTTAACTTCAAGGTTCTTTGTTTCTTCCATTCGCTTTTAATATACAAAAGTGAAATTTTCATCCTCTTTCTACATTCAATGATTATACGTTTCTTCTCCATGTTCTAAACGTTTTTTGATTTTTTTTTACTTCTTCTCTACTCTTTATATTTGAATTAATAAAAATTGCCTATAATTATCAGTAGAATTCTATACTAATTGCTATAGCCAGAAATGAGTTACAATTAGTATAGAAATTTACTGATTCAATTAGTAAACTAAAGGTTAATGATTCAATTAGTTGTATAAAATTTACAGTAAAGACATTCATCGTCAAATTTACTAAAATATTAGTCAATTTGAAAGATTATGTTGCTTTTTTCAACTACCAGAATATTTAATTATTTACTTCTATCAGTAATTTATTTACTGATTGGATCAGAAATTTTGCAAGAATTAACTGAATTATTAGTTCAAACTAATTATACTGATTGAATTAGTAAAGATTCTGCTAATTTAAATATTTAGAGGGAATTAGAATTTTTTAAATGCAATTTCAATGTAAAGCCCTTTTGAAATTTAACTGTTTCTAAAAATTACAATTCTAATTCTATACCATTTTTTGGTTGAAATTTTTAAATAAAATTATACAAAATATTAATCACTTTACTTCAAAATAGAAATTTAAATACCACTGCAGTTTTACGGCAATTAAAATTTTCAAAGACTTCAATTTAAAGCAATTGAAAATTTAAAAATTTTAAATTAAATTGACAAAAATTTTGAAATTTTTGCAAAAATTTTTGCAATTTAAAAATCTTTTGAAATTAATTATATTCTAAAAATTCTCACTATAACTCTTCTAATATTCAATTATTATCTAAAATTTTAACTGAAATTCAATTTATTAAATCAATTCTTAATAGAAAATTCTAAGAGAATTCAATTTTTTAAATACAAAAATAAATAATTTATTGAATAATATTGAATATTTTTTAAAAACAAAATTGAATTCTTATAAAGAACATATCAAAATTTTTTTAAATAATTAAATTCTTTCGAAGAATTTTCATAACTTTAGAATGTTTTCAGGACCTTAATTTTTGTCAAATAAATTTTAATAAAGAATTTTATAATAAAATTTTCAAAAATAATTGAATTTTTCGAAGAATTCATGTAAAATGGTATGAAAAAAATTGAAATTAAAATAAATTATTTAAATAATAGAATTCTTGGGGAAACTTTATTATTTATGAAAATAATATCGATAAAAATAACAGAAATCATAAAATTTGAAAAATTAAAAAAAATTCAATTGTTTCGAAGAACATTTAAGATTGTACGAGGAATTTAATTAAAATTTTACTGAAAATAATTTAATTCTTCTAAACAGTTTATCACAATCTTTAAGAATGA